GGGCCTGCAGCCAAATGGCTGTGAATGGAGCGAATATGTAAACGAATGAAATCGCCAGAAGTCGATTCAAACCGACCCTAAAATATCTTCGCTCCAGTCCATGACTGAACGGACGGCACACTACTTACTGACGTGGCTGGGAATCGAGATCACTCACAAATCTGGGCGAAAATCAAGTGTCTGGACTTTCTCTAAAGCGTTGATTCCTAAGCCCTTGCGTTTCTTAGCATACTCAAACGTCTGATCATACACGAGGCACCACCGGCACCCGTTACTGAAGCCCCGGTTGCGGCCGCGGCGCTGCTGCTGGCGCCAAAACGTCGCGGGCTGGTGGGCAACGGTATGGCGGCAAAACTGGCCTTTCTGGCCGCGCTCGGGCGAAGCTGGGAGGGTCAGGAGCAGGCCCCTTGGACCGAACAGGTTACGGTCTCTCCTCTCTTCCCCTCCCCTCCCTGCCTCTCCTCCCTCCCTCCTGCCTTCCCTTGCCCCCGCCCCCCCCACCTCATTCCCCCATCGTCTGCCATTCGCGCTCCCACACCCGGACTGCAGTGCGTTCTGAGCACGATGCCAAAGCGAATGCAACCGCGGCGACAAGGACCCGTCCCGAAAGCCTCGAGCATGTGAAAGCACGCCAGGGCCCCTCTCCTCTCCTGCCCCCTCGCTCGTCGTCGTCGTCGTCGTTCTCGTCGTCGTCGTCGTCGTCGACGTCGTCGTCGTCGCTGCCGTCGTCGTTGTCGTCGTCGTCGGCGTCGTCGTCGTCGTCGTCCTCTTCTTCTTCGTCCTCCTCCTCATCCTTCCTCTGCTTCTTCGCCTGCTCATCCTCCTCCTACTCCTGGTGCTCGTGCTCCTCCTCCTTCTCCTCGTCCACCCCCTCTTCCTCTTCATTATCCTCCCCCTCCCCCTCTTCCTCCTCTTCCTCCTCCTCCTCCTCTTGTCAGTATGATCCCCTACTTCTGGCTTTCGGGCTTTCGTGCCACAGCTCGGGCCTCGGGGCTCGGGCGACACTTCGGGACGAGTCGGGCACCCCCAGAACGCCCTCGGCGAGGCGCAGGTGCTGGACAGCATCACGAAACTGCACGACCTCCAAGAACCGAAGAAGAATTCCGAAAACGTGTTGCCGATCACTTCCTTCGAGTCCCGCAGCAGGCGGCCTCTCGTCGGAGCTGCGCTGCAGCTCCTCGTAGCTCTCCTGCAGGGCGGCGGACCGCCGCTTGGCCTCCTCTGACGCAGCGCGCAAGTGGGACACCTGGAACGGGGCCGGCCATGCTGCAGGGAGGACGGCCTGCATGGACAAACGTAGGATGGAGGAGGGAGGAATGATTCATTATGAGGAGCTCGTTGACAGGCGTAATGTTTGACAATGCGCTTGAGGTGGCGGCACGTGTGGACATTGTTGTATGGACGTCTTCGCTGGCCAACGGCCCATTAAAAGAAGTCCTCGGCCCCCTCCATCGGCAACTGACGCCGTAATGTGAAGAATTTGAAAAGGGGGGCAAAACACCCAGCAGCTCCTATGATGGCAGCTGCCCAGGAGGAAAGGCAAACGCCTAGAAGACATCGATGCGTCACATCTGTATCAATCCTCTGCATCTGGAAGCCGCGTTCGGGCCACGGGACCGTCAACCAACGACCCGACACTAAGAGCCCATCACGCGGAAAGGAACGACAAGGGATGCGCCCTTTTTGGGTTGGCGGCGAGTTGGGACCGACAAGCGGTCAAGTCATCTCGCAGTGCGTCCGTGGCAAGTGGAGGCGCAGGGGCGCAAGCCGGCGAGGGGCGAGGACAAAGAAGGCCGCAGGACGGCGGGAGAACCCTCAGATCGCGCAGGCCTTCAAAATGTGCCTAGGAGCGAGCTCGCATTCACGACGCAGCCAGTGCAGATGAGCAGACCGAAGCGGGATGCAAACGCTTGTGGTGCAAATCACCCATTTCTAATTCCAGTAATTTGCAGTTCCGGTCGTTCCAATTCCTGTCACGAATTGGAAACGAAAAAACAATCCCCCCGGGACGGCCCCGGCGTCGGACAACGGAACTGCCCCGGAGACGAAAAGCATGGCCCCGGGCTGGCACCCATGCTGGGCGGCACGGCCACGGTTTCGGAAAGCATGGCCCCGGGACGGCCCCAGCGAAGGAGGGCATGACCCCAGGATGGCCCCAGAGCAGAGGGACGGTGGCCCCAAGGCCGAACAGCATGGCTCCGGGACGGCCCTGCAGGGTGCGGTGCTGGAATGCCAGGCCCCTGGACGGCCCCTTTGCCGAAAACAATTTCCAGACGGCCAGGGGATCGGGAATCTGAGTGGGAATCGGAACAATCGAAATTGAATCGGGGCCAGAATCGGAATCGGAGTCAGACTCGAAGCCGGAATCGGAGTCAAATCATAACTGGAATCGGAATCGGAATCGGTGTCTCAGTCGGAGCCACACTAGCCGAAACCAGTACGGAAGAAAAACACAGACACGTTAAGATTCCGACTCCCAAAACAAGTTGTAATGATCGGTTGTCGCCGTTTAATACCAGGAAGGAAGCGCATTCACTCATCATATGCTACGTCGCATCCATCCTCCACCATCGCCCCGCTTGCCTCTCCTCGTGGTGTTTGCAGATGGGGGTGGGCGCGGTGTCACGGGGGCGTAGATCCGAATGCATCGCAAAGCGCAGCATGTGAATGAGCACTGCTGTAACGGCGAATTCACAAAGTCGCAGCTGCACAAATTTCCATTCAGCGTTTGCACAGAATGGGTCGTCGCCGCCGTTGGAAAGAATAGCGATCACATCCAGGCGAATTCGACGGGCGGCTGGGGCCCTGGGTCCTTGACGTTGCATCGAGATGATGTCAAGTTTCCAACCGATTGCAGGGCGAGCCCGGGGTCCTGAGTTCGAGCGTTCCCGCAAGCGCGCTGGGTGAAACCTCCCCGGAATCCAAAGAAGGCTCCAGGAAGGCACATAGAAGCTCCAAGAGGCGCCGAAGTGGACCCCTGGGGCGCCCCAGACAGGCCCGCGCGACATTGGGAAGGGCCCGCTGGTCCCAGCATGAACCTGTCAAGGGAGCCCACAAGGCTGTCCAATACGGCCCGGGACGCTTCAAAATGACAACATGCGGGCCCACAAAAGTTCAACATGTCTCTGCGCCAGACCACCGAGACGCTACAGTCGATACTCTCCACTTGGTGTTCCATCATTTCTGGCTGGCGCCCTCCGAAGTTCAACTCAAAATGTCTCCAACACGAAACATCGAACTTTCCTCAAAGAACAAGCATGCCCACAAAACAACGCGCGGAGGAGCCAACGCGCCACGACCTCCACCGTCCCTAACGACGCGGCGTTTTCAGCCCATTGCGCGGCCCACCGCAGCTCTCCGAGGACCGGGAAAAGTTTCGCAGGACGCGCCCGAGACGACCACCAAAGAACCAAAACCGCCCCACGATTCACCGAGATGCCAGGGCGCCAAGCTGCCCCGTGAGGCACAGCCAGAAGCACGAAACGGGCGAAACGCTCAGGTGTTCTCGTCCATTGCGTATTTCCCTTCCCGAATCCGTCTCACGCCCTCCAGCCCCCACCACTATTTGCGGAGGCCGCTTCGCACTCCCACCGCGACCTGGTTTTTCAACGCTTCTCAGAAAGGCTGCACCAATGGCCTTGCGCCACTCGGCAGGCCACCGGCTGCACATTGTAACCTCGGGGTCGATCCGCTCCGCCCAAAGGCCGCGCAACGTGGACTGCTTCGCGGCGCCGCGCCATCCGTTGGCCAGTCCGATGTCGTACGTCTTTGCGCGGCGCCACAACCCAATCTGCGGTGGGGGAGTGTTCCGTGTTCGGGCCTGTCACTCGGGCCTGGGGGGGGTGGAAGGACGACCACTTGAATTTCAGTGGCCCGTCGCCAGAGACCGAGTTTATTTTGGAATACGTAAAGCCCGGCGCCCGCGGGCCAATGGGCCGTAGGCACAGGGCCCTCGGAGAGGGAGGAGCTCCACCGCAAAGGGGAAAGGAATGGACAGGAAGGGCAGAAGGACGACAGGGTGGGTGACCAGCGCGGAGTTCGCCGACGATTGACGGAAGCCCGAAGGCTGCGAGCTGGCGCAACCGCTCGCGGGTCATCATCGCACACGTCTTCCACCTATTCCTCGTCCTTTCCCTCCCGTTTGTCATGCTCCTACCCCTCTTCCCCCTTTCCGCCCTCTGACTCCTCGTCTCTCCCCCCCTCCTTTTCCGCGTGTCCCATCCCCTCCTCTCTCTCGCGCCATTTTGCGCGCGGAATCCATGCGCGCCCCGTGCCCCCATGAACGCATGTAGCCAAACTTCGCTGCAAAGCCGTTCACCCCAGCCCGCGCCGCGTTCCGCCCTCGTCTGTGTGCTGCCTTCCTCCTCTCCCCCCATCCCCAATCTCAATTGTCCCCGCAAACCCCTCGACTTTCGCCGCCTCTTCGGTCCCGCGCCTGTTTGGGCTCAACGTGCGCGCGAGGGTATCCGTAGGAATACATGGCAGTGCCATTGGGATGCGAACGCTGCGACATAGCCCGTCAGTGCGCGCTGCGTCTTCCATTGCTCTTGTTTTCCCCCTCTGGGGGGGAAGGGGCAGGCTCGCGGGATGTCGTCAGCAACCGAGACTGGACTCGCGAATCCCAGCCAACGAAAATGCATTCTGTGAGCGCCACTCGACAGCCCAAAACGAAACGTTTCAAGCCGGCCGCAGGATTCCAGTGGGGGCTAGCGATCGTGTGACATTGGTGCTACCAGCTGTCGGCCTGTTGAATTGTCCTGTAATTGAGTAGCTCCACTAAACTATTCAGAAGAGAGTCGCGAACGGCGAAGCCAACGACCTCAACGTGCGCTGCGCACTGTAAGCAAGAGTCGCGAATGAGTCGGGCGGGCGCCGCGATCGCTCGGGTCTGGCTTGCGCTCGCGATGGTCTCCCCATGGCTCCACCGCAACCCTGGGGGTGCATCGAGAGGGCGCTTGGAGAAACCAAGGGGAAGCCGCGCAGAGCAAGGCGAAGGCCCCCAGATGGGACCCGATGAACTAATAGTGGCGGGTCCGACTGGCGTCGTTCAGCCGGCCGTTTTCGTCGCCAGCGTGCCCGCGGAGGGCGCCCCACGGGGGCATCGTCGGGACCTTAGAGCAGCGTTATGCATGGCCCTGGGGCCGCTGACGTGTTACGACAAGCAGTAGGCAACCAGAACGGTGCCCAATTAAATGCTGCTGTCGTTTGCCATGTGCTGTCAATGTTTGGGATTGAGTGTTCGGCGAGTCATCGAACACAAACGCCTCCGCGCATGGGTTGCGCGGATCGGCGTTGCCACTACGGCACTGGTTCGTCCCGCGGAGCGGCATACAATGTCAACCAAAGTGGATATCCCGAGCATTTAAATGCATATAGACAAACTATCCGAGCCAGCGCCGAAAACAGAGAAATATGTAGCTTGAGCCGCAGCTGGAGCCGGAGTCGTTGTCGGAGCCGGAGCAGTCCGAGTCGAAATCGGGATGGCCCTGGTGCCCCTCAGCATGGCCTCGGGATGGCCCAGGTACCTCTCAGCATGGCCCAGGGATGACCCTGGTGCCCCTCAGCTATGTATGTGGCCCTGGTGTCGAAAAGCATGGCGCCATGCTTTTGCGGCACCGGGGCCATCCCGCGGCCATTCTGCCCGGCAGAAGCTGGAGCCATCCTCCCTGGCACTGGGGCCATCCTGGGGCCATCCTCCCCGGCAGCAGGGACATCCTGGGGCCATGTTTTCGACGCCAGAGTCATGCCTGTCGGCACCAGTGCCATTCCGGAGCCATGCTGAGAGGCTCTGGCCATGCTTTTTGGCACAGCACTGGCGCCATCCTGTGGCACTGCTGTTGGGCACTGGGGCCATGGTTTGCAACGGTCCGGGAGCTTGCCAGGGCCATGATTTGCAATGGCCCGGGACTTGCCAGGGCCATGTCCAAGGTACGCAGCGGCCACGCACGCGTCCCTCCACGCAAATAAATACATACATACATACATACATACATACATACATACATACATGCATGCATGCATGCATGCATGCATGCATGCATGCATGCATGAATACATACATACATACATGCATGCATGTATGCATGCATGCATACATACGTACATACATACATACATACATACATACATACATACATACATACATACATACATGCATTCATACATACATACATACACACATACATACATACATTACATCCATACATCCATCCATCCATCCATCCATCCATCCATCCATCCATCCAT